AGCCCAGCCGGGCTCTGCAGACCCCTGCCAGCCTGCACCCTGCTCTGGGCCCTGTCGGTGCTGGCCCTGGGACATTGGTCCCAAGATGGTGACCAGGGGGTGGGGCACCAGGGCAGGGCTACCTGTGTGACCCTCAACAGCGTGCCAAAACTGGGTAAGCGGCCCTCCACCCAAAACAATTGCCTGCCCCTGCTCTAGATCAAAAGTCAACAATAGAGGAAGTCTCCAAGCAAAAAAAAGGCACTGAATTCTTGTTCCTCCTTTTGTGAAAATGGCAGTGTTCCTTGGTAGCAGAAATGCATCTTGCTCTTGCTTTTGACAGTTGTACTATACTGCACGTCCTCAGCATACAGAAATTGTAATGATCTGATACTGTTGATAGTCTTACATAAGTCTTCCTTCTGCATAGAACTCCTTTTTGGGGAGTAAAGGATAGCAGTATATAAACACCTTGTCTTATGAATTTTTATTCATCATTCTAAAAGAAAATATTTAAGAGGGGCTTTTTTAATTTTTCCAATCTTTCAGGAAAAATGGGGGAAAACCAGTTTTTTCTTTTTCTGAGCCTTCACATATCTAAAGGTGTTTGAGTTTCTCCAGCAGGTTGTTCACTGCTGTGAAAGCCTCCACAAGGGAAAATGCCTCCATTTGCCTTGCCAGGCTGCCTTACGCGGTCTTCTTAAAGAGTGAGGACATGGTTGTTTGTTTCTTGCTCTGATCCTCAGCCTCTGCAGCAGCCTTTCACTTCGTGTGCACCTAGGATTCTTAAGACCATACTGCATTCATCTGGATATGTGGCACTGCAGACACATCTGTAGTGCCACATACCACACACCACACATCTAGATGTTCTCTGCACTGCAAAGGTGCGTTGCCCATGCATGCACTGCTCCGTTTTTGTTTTCCACAGGCTCTTTCTTTTTTGTGCCCCACTCGCAAATCCAGGGGGCACTCCTGAGGTGCACACAGTGGTGGGAACCCTCCGGAGGGAAAAAAAGGGAGCAGGGCACACCACTCAAAAGTGGAGCCCCCAGGACCCCAAGTAAGGCTACTGGGGTCAGCCCAGTGCTGGCCGCGGCCTCTCCTACCCCACCTGGGATCCCTTGCCACATGCCTAGGGCCCCAAGAAAATTACGGGTTTCTTATTGGAAATTTTGTGGCACGTGTGGGTAAAGTATCATTTTTCAAAGAATATTCATGGAACTACCTTGGCAAATGGGTCATGGTAGTTCAGTGAATATTCCGCTAAAAATACTTTACCTGCACATGTGCAGCAGGCAGGCACACAGCCATAGGTGGTGGAAGGCCGGGGCTAACAGGGCTTAGCCCCCCCAAACATGGGGCAGCACAAAGGGTCACAGGATAGCCAGAGTGCAGGCTCTGGGCAGCTGCAGGGAGGGGGAAGAGAGGATGGTACTCACAGACAGACATGGAGCCTTCAGGCAGCCTGGATTGCAGCCAAACAGCGTGCGGAGCACTGCCCACCTGAGCAGGTAAGTCAGGGAAGAGGTGTGGAGTAGACTGAGGACCCCACAGTGAGGGAGGGAGTGGGGCAGGGGCTGGAGTAAATGGGGCCCTGGAGCAGATGGTGGGATGCCTGGGGCCTGGGCAGCTCACCCAGGAACATGGGGAGGCTCCCAACACTGTGCGCACCTCAGGAGTGTCGCCTGGATTTGTGTGTGGGGCAGAGGCAGGCTGCTGCTGCAGGCTGGGATCTGCACCCTGCTGCTGTTGCCTTAGGAGCTGGCAGCAGCTGGCTCCCAAGGCACTGGCAGTGGTGTGCAGAGCCCAGCCTACCTCCATGCTGCACACAGATCTGGGTGGCGCATGACCCTGGGCCTCTCCTGAGGTGTGCACAGCAGTGAAAGCCCCCCTGTACCCCTGGACAAGCTGCCCAGGCACAGAGCACCCCACCACCCACCCTAGGGCCCCATTCCCTCTCTTACCCTGGGGCCTAGATCCGCCCCCTCCCATGTCTCTTCCCCTCCCCCAGCTTACTGGCTGTGGTGGGTAGTGTTCTGCCTGCCATCCGGCTGCAGCCGTGCAGTTCCAGCCTCCTGCAGGCTCCATGTCTGTCCGCACACCCCCTCAACCCCCCAGCTGCAGCCACTTGGAGCCTGGTGCTGCCCTGCAGCCCTCTGTGCTGCCTCGCATTTGGTGGGCAGCTAAGCCTCATTAGCCCCAGCCTTCTGCCATGTATTCTTGTGACCCTTAACTGCAGTGTGGGGCAGATGTCACAATTTCCACGCTGTCTGCGAAATTGTGATTTTCCCCCCCCCCAGGGCTGTACATGTGCTAAAGCACGCATGGCACAGGCATTCCCCAGGGCAAGTGGCTGCAGCGCAAGTTGTGCTGCTGCTACTTGTCTCTGGGGAACCAAATGTCCACACTTGTCTGATCTATACTGTTTTTCCCTCAACACATCCAGAGACATGTTGCAGGCAGTACAGAAGAGTCTGCCTCTATCTGCATGCGAGATCCCTGCAGGATACCACCACCCACTGTCCAGAGTTAAAACTTATTTGGCCGTGTTGGAGGTTTTCTTTTCACTGTTTATCCCTGCTCAGTCCTCCTTGGGCTTCAGTTGCTTAAAAGATGGCACCCAAACCCTGTTGCTTTCCTGATTTGGCACCTGTGCTGAGCCTACATCATAGACTCTCTCTCACTTGCTTCCTGCCCTTTTCTCTGCTTGCTGGTAAGTATTGGATTTTCTCTGTTTTGTAACGAGCCTGCCGTCTTTTTTTGCAGAAAATATCTATTTTCATGTTTTCTGTGAAATTGATTTCAGTAGGTCCCTAATCATAATGTACCTTATTCCTGCTAATTTCTCACTACTCAACAAATATTAATGATCTGCTATCTTTTTTTTTTTTTTTAATGCTCTTAATGTTCCAGTAATCAAGTTATCCTTTCCTCTTCTGTTTTGCTGTGTTTGCTCTTCCAGGCTATCTCTCTGTAACAACAGCCCTGCAGAAGGTTTTTAAGCTAGAATTTGTAACATTGACTCAAGTGAACATTAACTCGGGTGTGTAAGTGACTGATAGTGAAGTGTTAGATGCACTGTCAACATGCTCAAGGCTAGACTTTGTTTTATGGATCTGAGCAAAATTGTTAAATATACATCTAATGGTTACAGAACTAATAAAACACTATCTTGGATTATTTTTGCTTTGCTTACAGGGTTTTTTTAAAAACTTTAATATATAAAGTAACAAATTGGTATACCGTGCAATGAAGTTTATATTTGTTCTTGCTTTGATTTTTAAAGTGAATGACATAGCATTGAGCCCCTAGCATGTCAGTACATCTAGTTTTCTCTCAACTGGAAAAAAAAAAGTTGAGTTAATATGTGGTGATGATCACACCCATCTGTACCGCCCCTTTTCAAAATCCTAGATCTGCCCATAGTGGTGTATATCTATAACAAATCAGCTTTTCTACTGGTTAGTTACTGTTCTGGTAGAGGGTAGAAATGCATGTGAATGCTTATGGTGGGAGGGGGTATTCCTGCTAACTGTGTTCTTTGGCTGGGCGACCACATCTGGCCTTACCTCTGAGGCTTCCCAGTCTTGGACAAACTCTCATTCATTCACAGATGTGGAGTGACACCATCAATCAGGCCAATAAAACAGCTCTGCTGGCCTGGGTGAAAGAAACTGGCATCCACCTGGTACAAGTCAATGGTCAGAGAAAGTATGGAGGTCCCCCACCAGGTAGGTAGAAAGCTTTGGAGTGTCTTAACTTCAGTTGCAGACAAACTGCCTTTCTCTGTATATAGTATCCAACTGACTGGTGAATTGCACAGTATTTTTAGAATGGCTACACATGCAAAGCAATCGTCACACAATAAAAATGACTATCCAGCTGTAAAAGGCCAACCAGCTATAGAATTATTGCTTGAGAAAGTGTACTGACTCTAGCAGGTTTTTATTCAGCTTAACTTAAATGTGTAGCAGGGCCCAACTAGTATGAAATTGACAAACCTGTTCATGGTTTCCATGGAGATAACAGTGAGTGGGGAATTTTAAGTGGCTTTGTAGTGAAGAGGGCTGTCGTCTTTCTCCTCTAAGAAACAGTGCCCCTGAATTTGCAGTCTTGTTTCTGCCCCATCACATGACTAATCCTTTGCAGAAATGATACCTGTGCTGCAGAGGTTGGTTCAGTGGGATCTGTTGTAGGCATATAATGCCTCAGATAAGTTGAGGTCCAGCTTGGCTGCACCACAGAGTTGCAGTATTCCTGTACCACAGTCTCTGGATAGGTAAGGTAAGGTGCCTGAGACTAGGTATTTTTTCATCGCCTCTTTGTCTAATTTACATATGTCTACAGGCTGGGTTGGAGATCCCCCACCATCTGGCTCAGAGGTCTTTATTGGAAAGCTCCCTCAAGACATGTATGAAAACAAACTGATCCCTCTCTTCCAAAGTGTGGGAAAACTTTATGAGTTCCGCCTGATGATGACATTCAGTGGGCTCAACCGTGGCTTTGCTTATGCCAAGTACAGTGATTGCCATAGCGCACAAGTGGCTATTACAACTCTGAACAATTTTGAGGTGCAGAAGGGCTGCCTCATCATGGTCTGCAAGAGCATAGAGAAATGTGAGCTCTGTATGGATGGCCTCCCCTCCTCAGTGAATTTGGGGCAGCTGCAGATGGTATTACAAGAGGTGACCACAGGAGTTGAGAATGTGTCACTATATCCCAACCCCTCCAGAAAACAGGGACGGCTTGCCGTGCTGAAATACCATTCTCATCGGGCTGCTGCCATGGCCAAGAAAACGCTAGCAGAAGGTACTTTTAAAATGGCCATAGAGGGGTGAGACTGGGTAAGGGAGGAAAAAGGGATGAATAGCACAGTGGTTACACATTCTACAGCAGCAAAGATTTCTTACTTATTAGATATCAAAACATAGTTGTGTAGTGTGAACATGCAATATTTGGGCGGTTTTTAAATGTGGCTTAAATGGCAAATGCCCAGGTGTACAAGCCAGCTCAAACTTCCTGGAATGCTTCAAAAGTATACCTGGGTAATACTGTCTTAAACCAATGCAGTGTCTGTGCTGACACTGAGCTTTCTGTGACTAGAGTCTGGTCAGTCCTCCAGGTATCCCATGCTGCATCACTTGCTGCTTTTCCTCCCCTGCAGCTGGCTGCTCTAGTACAGCTTGCTGCACAGGCAAGTGGGTAGGGTGCACCTGCCTCTGGGCTATGAACAAATAGTGGGCCAACTGATATTGCCAAAGCATGGTATTGACAGCCATTCTGTGGTATTAAGTGACTGTTATGCAGTGGC